CTTTCACTGCTTCCCATCGGCAGGCAGGGGGTCAGCCATCTCCAGGAAAGCAGGACTCCATCACGTATAACAGTTACTTGGGAAGACAAACGCTGTAACTCTGAACATCTCTTCCTTCCTTCTTCTTCCCCCAGCTTTCTGTGCTGAGCATGACATCACATGGTGTGGGATATCCCTTTGGTCAGTTGGAGTCAGCTGTCCCAGCTGTGTCCATACCCAACTTCTTGTGCACCCCCAGCCTACTCGCTGGTGGGGTGGGGTGAGAAGCAGAAAAGGCCTTGACTCTGTGTAAGCACTGCTCAGCAATAAGTAAAACATCCCTGTGTTATCAACACTGCTTTCAGCACAAATCCAAAACGTAGCCCCATACTAGGTACTATGAAGAAAATTACCTCTATTACAGCCAAAACCAGCACACCCTGCCAGCTGCTACAGCCGGGGGTGATGTGTCTCCAGGGCTGGTGATAGCACCATGTACCACCCTGGGTGGGGTGCAGAGACAGGGTGCATGGGGACCCTCAGGGTGTGCATTGCACATCCTGCTGGGCTTCTGCCTCTACCTCTTAGAGGAAGCCGTTTGGCTAAATATAAGCACTGCCGCTCATGGGAAGGTTGCTGAGCAAAGCAATGGTGGCAGCCGGTGTGCCATCGATTATATCCCGCTGTGCTGGATGCATTAGCACCAGTGAAGCACACTCCTGCGTGAGGCCAGATGCCGGCTCACCACTGTTTGGCACCCAGCAGCATCTCTATAGACCCCTCATAACCTGCTGCTGGGAGTAGTGCTCCTCCCTGCATGCCAGGAGGGCAGAGGTGGGCTGCTGGAGAGGGAAACTTTGTCTGAGGGTGGAAGGGACACCCTGGAACATCCCCAGAGCGGCAAGTCGCAGTTCCATCTGGTGGCCCGGCGTGACTGAGAGCAGGGCCCAGCCCCACAACCCACATCCTGATGGCTGCTGACAGGCCAGTTTGGTGCAGACAACCTTCTCCCCTGCTCCCTTCTCCCTCCACAGTCACCTAAGTGCCAGGATTGGGGCTCGGTTCCCCTTGCAGGGGGGAAACCCCTGCTCAGGCACCCCTGGTGAACCTCAGCACCCAGTTCCCAATGGAGACTGCCCCTTCCCAGATCCCAGCCGGGAGGATAGCCCAAGCCAGGGCATCCCCCAGTCATGGGACTACCCTGGAGCCAGACAGCTGGCATGGGGCTGTGTTGGAGAGGAGCAGGGCACAGCAGAGCACTGGGGCACTGGCAGGCTGTGACGAGTGTACTTTGGCTGGGTTGTTTCCTGAGGGTTTCCTATTGGCCCACTTCATACAGTACAGGTTTCAAAGGCTCCCCTTGATCTTTTTGGTGTCTGCCAACCTGCTGATGCAATCTATATTTAGTTACTAGTCTCCTTGGGCCGAGGCAGAGAGCCCTGTCATGCCTATGGTTTCGCACAGCAGGAAGGTTTTGTCTGCTGCCTGGAGGAGGAGGCAGATGGGCAGGATCGGAAAACACCCCTCGGGATGGGGGATTGGGCTTTGTGAAGGTGCTGGCAAGGGCTGGAGGAAAAGAAGATCACAGTGAAGGTTGGATCCTTCCAGCACATTGGCCTGTGCGGTCCATCCCCTTTCCGGGCAGCACCCATGATGACACTGTCCCTCAAGGTCCACGTGTCCAGCTGCCCATCCGTCTGTCCATCCATCCATCCATCCATCCATCCATCCATCCATCCATCCATTCTTCCCTCCAGCCCTCCATTCATTTTTCCCTCCCTCCATCCACCCATTTTTCCCTCACTCCCGCGCTCTTCCCTCCCTCCCTCCTATCTATCCATCCATCCATCTATCCATCTATCCATCTATCCATCTATCCATCTATCCATCTATCCGTCCATCCATACCTAGGCATCAGCCTTTGCTGCACCCTGGGGCAGCCTTTGTTCTATCTTCAGCCCTACCCATGCTGCATTGTGCTGGGAAAAATGTGTGGTGATGGTGTGAGCATCTCTTGGGAGCAGGACAGGGTGAGGGACACTCTGGGCTTGTACCTAGAGGGCAAATGCCATGTTTGACAGCTGGAAATGTGGGGTTGGGACTGAGCCCGGAGGGTTTGCTGGGGCACGGCAGAGATCTGAGCCCCTGGGAGGGCTTGGTGGAGGAGTGGGGAGGGGGACACTGGAGGCTGTTGGGCTTGGAAACTTGCTGGACCTCTCCAGGCAAGAGCCTTACTGAAGACCATTCCATGAGATAAGACTGATGAGCTCAGGAGATGCAAAGCATGAGATCCCAGGGATGGGGTCACATTGTTCCCCAGCTGGGGCACGTTTGACACTGGGGGCACTGGAGTGGGCTGTGGAGTTGTGTGCAGGCAGGGCCCATGACATGCTCCCCCTGCTCCCCATCCTTCAGGGTGCCGGCTGACATCACTGCCTCCGGGCTAATCTCTCGTCCAGCAGCAGCTTCCCATTTCCTTTCCAATCTCTGCGCCACAGGGCGGCTCCTCTCTGCTCGGGGCCAGGCAGGAAAAGCTGTCCAGCTGGGCTCTCGTGCGGGGCTGCAGCCTCCGCGTGTCTGGCCCTCACCCCACTGGGCTGTGGGCCACCCACTCCCCCTGCATTCCAGTGAGGGCACCTGGGGGCTCCAGTCCCCCCACACCCTGCCTGCCTCCTCCCTCGCTCAGGTGCTTGGGGATGCTGGCACATGGCCCCCTTCCTGTTTGTGCCACAGGAAACCCAGCAGTAGCATATCATTCAGTAAGAAATCACCACGCTGGGGCTCCCGGCATCCCACAGGGTCTGGGGCAGTCCCCCTTCCCAGCCCTACAGGTTTCACCCTGCTCCCTGGCCAGGGTGATGCTGGGGACAGGAGCTCTGCTACAGCCCAGTGCTGGATGTGGACCAGTGTCCCTGCCACACCAGCAGCCCTTGTCCTCCCCATGCACTTGATGCCACTGCCATCGGGCCATTTTGGGAAGCATCCTGGGCTGAGATGTCACCCACCCCCACACAGCCTTCCCCGGGGCTGGCTGGGGAACGGGGACTCCCCGCTGGCCTGTTGGTGCTCAGGCAGCAGCTCTTCATACCTACTTAGGGCTGGCTAAAAATAGCCCCGCAGCGGAGCTGCAGCCCAGCTGCTGCAGAGAAACATCCAGGGAATGAGACAAGATGAGGCTGCCTCCCGCAGCACCGAGGCTGTGTGGGGTGGTCTTCACTCCAGCACGCTGTGGGCTCGGGATGCCGATGGGCTTTGTCCCATCAGGGCAGCACCCAGGGGTGTTTCTCCGCCTTGCTCTGGCCACGGTTCCCTGCCCAGCTCTACCACAATTATTGCAAAGCGTTCTTGGGGCAATTTGGGGCTGGCATGTGTCTTTTCACAGGTAAAATCCTCCCTGTTGTGGGTGTTCTCCATCTGCTGACATGGTGGGAGCAGCATGGGGCAGGAAGGGACTGCTCCCCTCACTGTAAGCCCCAGCGAGGGACAGTGAGCATCCGCGCCCAGGATGCTGGGGTGGGCGTCCGGACGAACTGGGGAGGAGAAGCACAAGGTGGGGGGGAAGCAAGCACAGGGCAGCAGCACTCACAGCTCTGGGTGGGACCACAGGGGGCTGGGGTGACCAGGGAGCATGAGGCTGGGCAGGTCAGAGGGGCCCCAAAAGCCACAGTGGTAGATGACTGGGCAGGCTGCAAACCCTGGGTGCTGCCAGGGGGTTGTCCCCCACCACTGCCTAGGCAGAGCTCTGGCTGTGAGACCAGCTGCCACGTCCTGGCCATGTCTCCTAGTCTTTACCTTGCTGGGACAGGTCTGGAGCTGAGCACCCCAGCACCGTCAGCAGTGACGTCCCCGTTTGCACTGTCCTTGCACAGATCAGGCTTAAACCCATCTGGGGCAGGAGTCCAGCAGCCGCAGGCAGCCTCGGAGCGTGGGGGCGAATGGGTGAATGGAAAATCCAGCATTTGTCAGCGTATTCTCCCTGTGGTGTCTGTCTAGACTAACTTCCTGTTGTCCGGTGGAAGCTGCCCCATGTCCACACATGCTTACCCGCATGCGTGTGGGTATGTGGAGCCCAGCATCCCCCTCTCCTGCCTGACCACTGGCTACCTTGCTCCCTGCTGAGGGTCACCCCTGGGTGGTGGGACTGCACGGCTGGACTGGCCCTCCTGTCCGACCCAGGACCTAGAGTCTGGACAGCCTCAGGGTGGGCTCAATGCCAGGTTCCTCACTGTCCCGTGCCAGCTGAAGCTCTCTTGCACAAACACCAATCCCTTTATTGTTGTGCCAGAAACCACAGCAGCAGCAAACACAGAGAGTGGGGACAGAGGCTGCCCAAGACCCCACTGCCAGGACAAGCCCCCCCAAACACCACCTGGGGAAGGGGTCCCCAGAGCCAGCTGGTCTAGAGCCAGCTGGCAGAGGTGAGCCTGATGCCCAGGAGAGGACCTGGGAGGGCTCCCTGAGATGGGGGGTCACACAAAGCCTGGATGAGGCTTGGTAGGCTGGAGTGGGTCCAGCCTGCTTGCGGGGCTGGCAGAGCCAGACCTCAGGCCAGAGAGGGTCAGTCCAAGCCCTGTGCTGCTGCAAATTCTGGGCAGGACCCTCATAGATCCCCCACTTCTGGACCTTTGAGGGACACCCCTAGAAGATCTTACAGTGGCAAAGGGATATCCTGGTGCCAGGAAAGCTCCTACCCACTCCATGAAGTGTTCCCCCTCTTACCCTGCCCAGCCTCTCCTTGGGGCACCTGCTCCCACCGCCAGCTCTACCTCCTGCATGGGGACATCTCCATGGGCCACCATGGGCGCAGGGGGGACCAGGGTGCCCATCCTCCCTCTTTCCAGCACCCGTGCTGCAGGTTCCCATGGGACAGTACCTTGCTTCCTGGGTAGGGGGGTCTATGATGAAGGAGTTGGAGAGCAGATGTGACTATTGGGGTGCAGGGGGCCAAATTCCCACCCTGCCAAGGGCTGCCAAGCCCTGGTCATGGGGGCGTCCCCCCACAAGAGGGCTGTGGCGAGGGCTCAGGCCTCATGGTCACTGGTGCTCAGGTGGTCCTCAGACAGCCCCGTCTCGTCGATGTTCTCCAGTGAGTCAGCGTGCTGCACCGAGAGCTCGGCAAGGCTGACACTGGGCAGCGTGTTCTGCTCTGGGTACACCCAGGGCTTGTATCCAGGGTCGTGCTTGCGTTTCCACTCTGGGTACTTCAGCCCAGCCTTGTAGATCTTCTTCATTGCCTGTGAGCAGAGTGGGTCCAGCCCATCATGGTGCCCCAAGTCCCCAGTGGGAATGGAGCCACCCCAGGCTGTGGGCCCAGATCCCAGCTCCCCCATTGCTTGCTTTTTGGGGGTGCTGGGAGGGGATGGGGACCTGGCTCGGACCACACAGCCCCAGCAGCATGCCCAGTGCACGCCCTGAGAGCCCTGGGTCACCCAGCACCTGTTCTGCAAGCCTTGAATCACCCAGTGCCTGTCCTGCCCCTACCTAAGGGGCTACTTTGGGGCAGCTCATCCCTGATGCCTGTGCATCCCACCACCGGCCACACACCCTGCTTACCTTTGGTGCCACAAACTGGGAGACGCGGTTCACCACCCACTTTGGCAGCGACCCTGCAAGAGCCCAAAGCCCCATCACTCAGCCAATCTGAGCCAGCCCCTGAGGAGGCACCATGAGCCTGCAGTGCCCTGTGCCAGACTGAGCCTCCCCAGGGCTGATGCCCCACTCTGTGCCCTGGGAGGGAACCCTCTTTTTCCCTGTGTTGTCCCCATTTCCCATCGCCCTTTGGACCTCCGGGTGATGGAGAGCCATAGCGCATGAGCTCTGAGGGCACAATGGGACCCATGTCCAAGAAGGCACGTTGCATCCTCCCCTCCTGCTGGCACTCACCGCGAGGGTCCACCTGGGTGAGATAATAGAGGATGCAGGCACCAGCACCATTTGCCTTGATCAGGTAACCTGTCTGCAGGGACACGGCCCTCACAAAATCCTTCCGGGGTGGGTATTTCTGCAGAGAGATGCCGTGCACCTCAGAGCCTGCCCGAGCCACCACACAGTCCTACCTGTGCCTGCTGGCCCATGGGACCAGCACCCCTGCCAGGGCTGGGGCCAGCCGGGGGCTCACCGGGTGCTTGACGCTGTAGTTGATGATCATGTAGTCATTGCCCAGGGGCAGCCAGGAGCGCAGGGTGACGAAATCCCGGTTCTTCAGGGGGCTTGGGCATTTCCCTGTGGGCAGACCCTGTTACACCCCAACCCATTGCCCCCATGGCCCCACACTCACGCACAGGTCTGTGGGGTCGGGGAGGGGGGCCCTGGGGTGCCCAGGGGCTGGGGGCTGCTCACAGGAGTAGTATCCCACATCAGCATTAACGGTCAGGCGCCCGATGTCGTAGGTCTCGATCATGTTCGAGTCCCATTTCTTGCGGTAGTGGGTGTCATGCAGCATGTCATAGAGCGTCTCAGCAGGCACGTCCTTGCAGGAGATGCGAGTCTGTGGGGAGACAAGCAGTCAGGCATGGGGGCAGCACCCACCCGCAGAGCATGGAGCTGTGCCCATGTGGGGACAAGGACTTAGGCTGTTCCTGTGTGCAGTGGTGTGCCCCCCTGCTGCTTTAAAGCCACGTGCATGCGTGCCATGGAGAATGCTCTGCACACATGGAGCAGGGCATGTCCCTGCTTCAGGACAGACCAGGCAGAGCCACCAGCCCCAGCTGCTGGCATGCAGCACAGTGCAAAGGCAGGAGGACAGTGGGGGTAGAAGGACGCTCTGCCCTCAAACAGAGCTGCCTGGTGGTCCAGGCTCTGGTGCCTGGGTACCCTGAGCCCAGCTCTGTCCCCTCACCCCATGTTCCTGCAGGGCAAGCAAAGGGATGCTCTTGGCCTGGCATGATACTCTTGTGCGTGGAGTCCAGTCCGGGGAGGTTGGTGGGGCCCCGGCTGTAACCGGAGCCGCGGAGCTGCCTGACAGTGCCAGTGAGTACATTATTGATGAAGCCAGCCGCCCTGCTCCTCTCAATGCTGGGAGGAAGGAGGTGTCATCTGCTCCTTGTTAGAGGCCTTGCATCTTTGATGAGGTGTTCGGCAGTGCCATGTAATTGGAGATGTCCCTCTGAACGTGGCAGGTCCCATCAATCTCAGGCAAGCTTTCCCTGATGGCCTGGGTGATGGTTTCTGCCCGGCGTGCTGGACTCATGCCCAGGACAGGCTTGGAGATGTGCTGCACTCCCCGGGGCACCGTGGAGAGTGTGAGAGCACCCAGCCCCCTCCTCCTGCTCCCCCTCCCCAGCCACCTCTTCCCAGCTGGGTCTGGAAGTGCTGCTGCTGCAGTGTGAAGGATGCCTCCAGCTGGAGGTGGAGCTCATGGTCCTCCTGGGCTCCTGGAAGCTCCAGTTTTCACAGCAGGACCATCGCAGCCTTGCACTCCCAAAATCCCCCACTAAAGCCTGTCGACCACCCCTTTCCAGCCATGGATGAACAGAGGCTATGCAACAGCCACTCTAGGTGCAGCAGGCAGTCAGCTGGGATGGGGAAAGCACAGAGCCCAAAACCAGACCAACCACAGTGAATTCAGGTCAAAAAAATCCAAAGCTCCAACTGCTCAGGGACTCTCCAGGTTACGCCTGTATTAATGGAAAGACTGGGGCTCTTCTCACTCCCAAGCCCCAGCCAGTGCAGCTCAGCCCTCCCGCACAGGCTGGGTGGCATCCTCCATCCCACATTTCAGGAAGGGTGCCTGGGCAGTGCTGACCCCTGCACCATGCCCAGGACCTCTCCAGAGCAGGGAAAAACCACATCAAGGAGGTATTACTTGCAATGAACCAGGCTGGGCAATGGTGCTCAGACCCCCCCCTGAAGCTGCCCGGGGTCCCCTCTCTATGGGGCTTGGTGGTGGCAAAGGGGGATATAACTGCATCCCCTCTGCTGTGCTGTGCTTGTTTGAACTTGGCTGGACTTCATGAGGTTCCTGCCAGCCTGTCCCTCCAGCCTGTCCCGGTCACACCAAGCAGCAGCTTTGTCTCCAGCACTTCAAACACACACTCCCCACACTTCAGTGCTGCCTGCAGACTTGCTGAGAGGGCACTCGATCCCATCATCCCAGTAACAGGGTGGGGCCCAGCAACTGGCCACCATCTGGACTCTGCACTGCTGACCACCATGCCATGAGCCTGGTGATGAGCTGGTTTTCCACCCACCTCATCATCCACTTCTGCAGTCCAGATCTCACCAATCTGGTGATGAGGAGACTATGGGAAACCCTCTCAAAGGTTTTACTAAAGTCAAGGTAAACGGCTTTCACTGTTCTCCCCATACACATGCAGCCAGTCCTCTCATTGCAGGAGGCAACCAGGCTAGTCAAGCACGATTTCCCTTTGGTAGGTCCCTGCTGCTGTTCCCACTGCCCTTGTCCTTCAGGACATGGTTTCCAGGAGGATGTTCTCCATCACCTTCCCAGGGATGGAGGTGACACAGCAGCCCATAGTGCCCTGGAGCATCCTTCTTGCCCTTCTGGAAGACGGATGTGATGTTTGCCTCTTCCCAGTTATCAGGGACCTCCTGCAGTTGCCAGGACTTTTCAAAGAGATGTTGGCCAGCCCCCTCAGCACCCCTGGGTGCATTCTGCCTGGTCCTGTGGACTTGTGCATGCCCAACTGGCTTAAGTCCTCCCTGATCCTAGCCCAGAAGCTCTTCCCTGGCTCACCGTGGCAAGGCAGCATGTATTGCAGATACACCTCTGCAGAGAGTGCTGCTCCTCCTCCTCACCTTGGCCCTGAAGAGCCTCCATCCATGGCAGCGTTGCAATCATTGTGTGCTCAGCTCCTCCTGGTGTCTCCTCAGCTGTATGCACTGGTGTGCAGGCAGCCCAGACAGGCTGCTGGTTACTCTGTGTTCAGGAGAGTGGTGCAAGAGACTCCTCCAGTGTACTGCACCCCAGACACCTCCTCACACCTCTCCTGCTCTTCAGGTTGTAGTAACCTTTCCCTGACACTCCTAGTTGAAAGCCCATGTCTGGGGGCTCCCAGCAAGGACATCTCCATAATGTAATCAATCCCAGGGCCTTCCCACCTGTGTCTGGATCGAGGGCAGCCACAACGTGAGCCCACATGTGTGCACGCATGGCAGGACACTGTAGCAGGCATCCCAGCAGGTCAAGAGGCTAAAGCTGCGGGGCAGGCAGAGAGAGCCTGCAGAACAGCTTGCCAGCTGGGGAAGCACTGCCGGGGGACTAACTCTGCCAGCATTTGGAGTAGAAACGCCCCCAGGCAGGCTTGACCAGGGTGCTGTGCACCTTCAGGATGGGCCAGCATCCCAGGGACCCTCAGGAGCCACGGGGCACACAGCTGGGGCAAGGAAGAGCTGGCAGTCCCGCAGCCGCCGGCATCTGCTTACCTTGATTTTCTGCACGGTGCAGCTTTCCTCCTGGCTCTGACTCCACACGGTCACGCCAGCCTTGTTATACCGACAGTGCCAACCCTCCAGGCTCTCGCACTGATCCCTGAAGGAGCTGAAGTCAGAGTCATCTGGGATATAAACCATGTCCCCTCCTCTAGACATGGGGCTGAGCTGCTGGATCCAGGGCTCAGGCACTGGCTGTAGGCAGGCTCCTTCTGCCTCACCTCCCGGGAAACCCGGCTCTGCCCTTGAGCTCTGCCTTGCTGGGTGCCTGCTGCAGCTCACATCATCCTCCGAGACCCAAGCCTGTGCCTCCAGAGTAAGCACTGGCTGCCCAGGCACACCGGGATGGGCAGAGACCTCCAGCCACCTCGGCCACGCCGTGCCTCACAGAGCAGCAGGGAGGAAGGTGCTTTCCCTGCAGTTGCTATCGCAGCTGCTGGGAGCTCAGATGTCTTCCCCGGCTGGCTAAGCAGGATCACGTTTCTCTCCAGCTGGCTGTCAGCTCCTCTATTATTCAGCAGGTAGCAGCACGCAGGTGGCTTGGCTTTCAGGGCAGAGCTGCCCCTGGCTCCCCGAGCCCCCTGTCCCTGCCGGCCTTGCTTTCCCCTTGCTGGCACACTGGCAATCTCTGTGCCTGACTTTGCAGTACCAGCTCGCTGGCGGGATCAGCTGATCACCTGCCAGGAGCAGCGGCCAGGTCTCCCAGCAGCGCGGCGGAAGTGATGGGCTTCAGCTTTGGTGGGATGCAGGCCAGCACAGGTCCTGGCATGTCCGGGATGGGGCTGTGGTCCAGTGCACAGGACCTTGGCTGTAAAGGTGTCCTGGGTCTGTGGGATGGACTCCTGGTGTGGGGAAGGGAAAGAATTTGCAGGTGGGCAGGTTGCCCCCCACTGGGCTTGCAGTATCCTGGTAATACTGTTGGGAAGGGACCCCTGGGGGTCTCTAGCCCACCCTCCCACTTGGAGCAGAAACACCACCAGCACAGGGTAAGATCATCCATGGCTTTAACCAGCTGTGTCTTGAAGGATGGACTTGCCCCACCTCTCTGGTGTCATGTTTTTTAAACTAAAAGAGGGTAGATTCAGACTAGATACAAGGAACAAATTTTTTACGAGGGTGGTGAAACATTGGAACGGGTTGCCCAGAGAGGTGGTAGATGCCCCATCCTTGGAAAAATTCAAGGCCAGGCTGGATGGGGCTCTGAGCAACCTGATCTGGTTGTAGATGTCCCTACCAATTGCAGAGGGAATGGACTAGATGACCTTTAAAGGTCCCTTCCATCCCAAAGCAGTCTATGATTCTATGATTCTATGTCCCACAGCTGCACCACCTCCTCAGGGAAAAAATAATAATTCCTACTGTCCAGCCCGAAGCTGCAATTACTGTCTGTTGTCCTTTTTTACATCTCATGCGCTACCAAGAGAGTGTGGATCCATTGCCTTTGCATCTGCCCTCCAGGTAGCTGCATGATCCTGGTAGATCTCAACCCACCCCTCTTGTAGCCCCAGGCCCCAACCCTACCAGCAGCATCTGCTGGTCCCTCTCCAGCTCCTTCACCTCTCCCTGAACTGGGGGGGCCAGTCTGGGCACAGGACCCGGTTAGAATCATAGAATCATTTAAGTTGGAAAAGACTGTTGAGATCATCAAGTCCAACTGTTAACCTAGTGCTGCCAAGTCCACTACTAAACCATGTCCCTAAGCACCACATCTACATGTCTTTTAAATACCTCCAGGGATGGGGACTCAACATCTTCCCTGGGCAGCCTGTTCCAGTGCTTGACAACCCTTTCGGTGAAGTTGTTTTTCCTAATATCCAATCTAAACCTCCCCTGGCACAGCTTGAGGCCATTTCCTCTTGTCCTATCGCTTGTTACTTGGGAGAAGAGATGACCCCCACCTCGCTACAACCTCCTTTCAGGTAGTTGTAGAGAGCAATAAGGTCTCCTCAGCCTCCTTTTTGCCAGGCTAAACAACGCCAGTTCTCTCAGCCACTTCTCATAAGACTTGTTCTCTAGACCCTTCACCAGCTTCATTGCTCTTGTTTGGACACGCTCCAGCACCTCAATGTCCTTCTTGTAGTGAGGGGCCCAAAAGTGAACACAGTATTTGAGGTGCCGCCTCACCAGTGCCGAGTGTAGGAGGACGATCACCTCCCTGGTCCTGCTGGCCACACTGTTTCTGATAAAAGCCAGGATGCTATCGGCCTTCTTGGCCACCTGGACACATTGCAGTTGTGGGCTTTCTGGTGCTGTGTGGAGGGGACAACCCCTTCTCTCAGGCTGCTGGCCACACTCCACCTCCTGTTGCCCAGGGAGGTAGCTTGCCCCGTTTGTTCAGCCTATTGTCCAGACCTTGTCTGGGACCTTGTCCCAGGTCCTTTTCACTGGGACCCTGCTTAGCCCCTTGGTCCCCAGCCTGGGAGAAACCTAAGGTTATCTAGCTTGTCTATCTTGTTGATGTCCATGAAGTTTCTGTTGACCCAAATTTTGAGTTTCTCAGGGTCCGCCTAGACTGAGGCTCTGCCTTTCACTGTACACCCATTTCCCCTAGTTTAGCCTCACCTGCAAGGCAAGGGTGCAGTTGTCTCCTCATCCAACACTCTGATGAGGATGGGGAACATGGCCCCAGTATTGACGCTGGGGTACCCCACTTGAGACCAGCTGCCAGCTGGGCATCAAGGCATGGGCAAAAACTCATGGAAGGGAGAGCAGGGAGAAAGCTGGAGAGCTGCAGCCACTCACAAAGTCTTGCCTGGGGAGGAGGGCTTCCTGCAGCTGCCTGAAGCTGCCCACATTGTAGCATGGTGGGCTGAGCAACTGCTTCTCCATGCAGACTGGCTCATTGTGGAGCTGCGTGTTTCACAGCTCAGGTTGCTCTGGCTGCCATGGCTGTCTGCTGGCAAGGCAGATCTGCCAAGCACTATGCTTTGTCAAACAGACAGGGAGTAGCAGATCCCCAGTTGGGGATGATGCAGAGGAAAGAGCTTGGGGTGGCCTTGGGGCTGTAGAGCAGGGAGCAAGCCAGATGAGAAGGATTTATGGTCTAGAGCTGTCTAACACCATTGCTGTAGTGTCCCATGGGGTGCACAGGAGCATGTGTGTGAGCATGTGCACATCTGTGTGTCCACATGAAAGTGTGTGCAGTCACTCCAGCCCCTGCAAGAGCCAGACACAGCTCATAGAGTCCACGCACGGGTATGTGGGGGAAGGTGGACCTGAGCCTGGGGGCTTTGTGGCTCCAAAGCGTGTCCAGGGGGGGAAGGAAGGGATGACACTGCAGTCCTGGGGATGGAGGAGCTCAGACCAGCTGTGTGGGAAGGAGCAGACTGCTTGCCCAGCATCATTGAAGCAGGAATCAGCCCTACTTAGCCACTTTTCTCTCTGCACCTGAGGGATGGGAGCATTCCTCTGCCCGGTGGGTCAGGCTGCAAACTTGAGCAGAAAGTGCTTTCTTCTCTTCTGAAGCAGCCCTTGGGGTCAGTGTTCAAGCTGGACAACAGTGCAGCCACCCAAAAGCTTGCTGTTCACCATCACATATCCCCTGCCAGCCACCAACTGAGCTGAAATGGGTTCCCATGGCCCATTTGCCCTTGCAAGCACTCAGGGCTCAAACCAACCCCATTTACCACTGCCCTTGGCTCTTTTGAACCCAAGGTCTGTGTCTGGATGCTGCTGCTGGGAGCTGGCACACCCCAAAGGAGAGAGATAAAGGCAACTGTAGCAAATGTAAAGCAACACATTAATGCGACCTTGCCTCTGTCACATCTTGTTTAACTTCTCTTCATGAGCATTGAATATCAAATGTCCTGTGGCTGGAGCCACCTTGAGTTCCCAGCCAGGCAATGGCTATCTCAGGAGCAATGTGACACCGTTTTGTGGCGTGTCCCTGAGGTATCCTCCATGGAGGAAGCGGCAGGGGCTCAGCAGCAGGGAGGGAGGAAACAAGGGATGCTTCTCTGGAGGCATCAGAGCTGCCACCCCAGCAAGACCTGAGCCCAAGGAAGATGGACTTTATGGGCTTATTTTGCACAAGTGTCTGTTAGCAGGGAGCTGGCTAGGCTCTGGGTGCGTCCCCATCGCATGGTGCCTTCCAGGCCCTGCTGTCGGGGCTGGCTGAACCTGCACCCTGGGCTTAGTGGTGTAACCCCACTGTCCTGCAGCTTCCAGCAGCTGGTGGTGGCTTGTCACACCTGGTTTAGCTGGATGCTGGCTTTCATTAGCCGTGGGACTCCGGCAGCTTGCGGTGTCCCCATGGCTGGCACGGAGTTACATTCCCTGGGCTGACAGCATAGCTATGCTCCATGTCTGTGTCTTCACAAGTGAGAAATACAATCTCAGGAGACAGGCTTGCCATTCACAAGGTTGTCCCACCTCTGTGATGATATCCCAGGGCACTGCTGAGATTGGTCCAATTGCTGCAAGCATGCAGGGTCCTGCTCTTGGTGGGATTCTCCATCCAAGCTTTGTCACTGTGCACAGGCAGTGGGGGATGACATGGGGGACCATCAAGCCAGCAGCCCCCAGGACACCCCTGCATGCCCCACAGCCACCGACTCCATGAGCAGGGGCCTCTCCAGAGCATGGTAGGGCCAGGGCATGCAGGGGGTCCTGGTAAGGGTACAGCAAGGAGGATCCAGCTCCCATCCTGGCTGTGTCCAAACAGGGACTTTCTGGTCCCTTCCTCCTTCTCCTTTCATTCTCCAAGTCAAATCTCTAAACTCTCCAAGTGTCTTACAAACTCTAAAGCTGGGATGCCTCAGCAGGACGAGATTCCAGGCGCTCCAGAGCTGGAGAAGAGCATCCAATTCCCTCTGCAGCAACTGGTCCTGCTTCTCCAAGAACCAACTTTGAAAGGCTTTGCAAATTGAAATGAAAAATGTTTTTCCTACAGAAAATGGTTCTGCTTTGGCTTTATGTGAACTGCAGCAGTGTCTCCTTTCAGAAACTCATTCCACCAGGGTTTATCTCCTAGGGAATGAAAAAGGGAGTTAGGAGGAAAAGCTAAAGATGGGCTGAGAGTTTCCTGGCCCGGAGAAACCCAACTGGAGCAGTTAGGAAGGGTTAAAGGTGCCACACAGCATTCGGAGATGGTGGCTGGGAGGTGAAGATCATCCCAAGATGGGAGCAGGAAGGTGTTAAGCCCCTGAGGGACATCAGGT